AACAGATAGATTTTTTTACTGTTTTTCATGGTAATCAGACTTGGGTGTTTACATGTACGAATAGCCCTGCACACCACTGGGGAAAGCGTTCAGCTCACCTCATGAGGAATGTAATCGGGAGGCAGTTTGCTCAGCATATCTTCAGATAATCTGTAAACAATGGCTTCCCGGGTCTCTCCCCCACCACCTCCACTCTCTTTGGGTTGAATGTTGGTAATTGTGTCAAGAACAGCAGAGGCAGTGTTACTCTGATACCTGACAAAAAAAAGGGAACTGTTCAGAATGTAACAGGGAAACACACCCTCGGAGACCATTATCAAAGCTGAAGTGAACTGATCAAACCCAGCCCCACGCACACATGCACACACACACAAAAGAAAGAAAGAAAGAAAAGGGAGGAAAAGGAAACTTTACCATCAAACCACAGGAACGAGAAGATTACAGATCCATTCTTCTGCCTCCTAATGGGATATAAGAATATCACAGAAATGAAAAGCTCTCCATCTTCAGTGAAAGAGATTCCACAAACATCCGTGGGAATCCACATCAGTGCTTTACGGTCTTGGCTATAGCTAACCTGAATGCCTCAGGCTGGACGATGAGCACAGATCCTTTTCCTCTGCCCTGCTTATGGCCTGATCATAAGAGTCTACTATTACCTGACAGTCTGTTAGATCAAAGAGAACCAATCGGATTTTCTCACTGAATTATAAATTGTTATTTCTTTTGTCTTTTCTGTTTTATTTTCTCATTTTCCCCACTTGTTTCATGATTTCCAAGGTGATCTACTGGCATCCATCTGCTCTGTCTGTTCAAATGCAGCCACCCATCTTTAAAATCCATTTATTCCATATAGATCCACTATCCAGGCACTGAGCTAGATTCTAAGAAATAGCAGTGAACAAGACATGGTCCTGTTCTCTAGTGGAGGAGGTGGACATTAGACAATACCACTGTAACGTAATAAGTGCTGTGGAGGAAAAGAACAGGATGCTTTAAGACCGTTTAGTCTCACTCGCTATCTAATGCTCTTTGGGCCAACCAGGTGCTCTAAGATACATAAACTTAGTCTCTGTCCCTGAGATCCTGGGTTGACTAGTTATATGGACATTTGGGTAGGGTATGTGTAGGTGTGTTTGTGTGTGTGCATCAATTTACACCAGAACATCAGTAAAAGTCTCTCTTAAAAAGTCACATGTAAGCTGAGACCTGCAGGATGAATGGGTCAGCCAGGCAGTGGGGTGGGGTGGGAGGCATTCTGAAAGAACATTCTGATAAGAAGTAAGGGCTAGAGGTGAGAAGGACTTCAGTGCATTTGAGAAACAGAAACAAGGCCAGGAAGGATGGAGCAGCGAGTGAGAAGAGATGAGGATGGAGATGAGGCAGGGGCAGACCGTGCAGTCATGTGGGTCACTTTGATTCTTAACATTACCCTAAAGGCAATGGGCAGCCACTGAAGCCTTCCCAAGCTGATGAGGGGTGGATGCTGGAAATTACTTGGAAATAGGACTTGGAGACTAAGAAGCCTGGGAAATGACATCAAGGAGGAGGCCTGCACCTGAGGACTCCTGCACATCCTTTAAGGCACAACTCAAATGTGGCCTCTCTCACTAGCTTTCTTTGATCCCTACATTGCAATTTATTGCTCCTTCACCTGTGTTTTCTAGAAATGTGTATACACCCGTTTTAGAGTTACCTTATTGCATTATGTAAGTATTTGCCATTCGTCCATTTTCCCTAACAGATGATGTGTTCCAAGGACAAGAACTGCGTCTTACTCAGATCTGTGTCCCCAAGTTGGCCAGACAGTAAGTTCTCAATAGGTATTTGTTTGTTGAATTGAGACCAATCGGCTTGGATTTTATTAAACCTCTAATATAAAGGACAGCAGTTCTCCAATATTTAAAGAGCATAAAAATTTATTTGTTCCTTCTTATGGTAAAAGTTTAGTATACTATTTCTACTATTTTTCTCTTTCCTGGTAACTTTCCACATACAAAAGGATACACACACACACACACACACACACACATATCCTTGGATCCTTGACTTCTGATAACTTTTAATTTTGTTGTTTTCATAGGATTTTCCCCCTCAGAGTGATTTGTATTTTTCTTATACTTTATATGACTTTTAAAAACTAGGATTGCACCATACTTCAAAATTCAAGAATGAGTTGCAAATGCCTTTTGAGACACACACATACACACACACACACACATCTCCCAAACACAGAATAATCAGAAAGATAAAATATGAGGGTGAAGAAATATTATTACTTTATCAACACAGGTCTTTAAAGGTTAAGAAAAGAAAACCACAGAAAATTTCCATTTATGCTAAGAAAATCAGAGTTCATTCTTCCTACCTACTGTTCTAGCTACAAATAAAAAAGAGAAAGACCCCATATCTGGAATTCTCAGGAGCTCTGTTGGCTCACCTCCAGCTTAAATTCTCTTTGGAGGCACACTCTGCACCTGTCGCTTGGTGTGAACAGCTCACACTACTGCGGGCATGACCATCTTGCTCTATGCTGGCTCTGGCCAAGTTTACTGGCGCTCCGGGGAGAGGTTGATGGAAATGCCGTTGCTGCTACATCTCACCTAAGAAATCACTTTCATAGTGGATGGTTTTATTTTTTTATGAGGTGATCTGAAAACAGTCCTCAAAGCATAGATGCTGGGAAGAAGCCCTGAAAAGTTGATCCGTTTTGCATGAGTTGGACAAGCTCTCCAGATCATCTCCCCACCACACATTTTCTTAGGCACAGAATGTCATTCCCTGGTATTCCAGAGCTGTACACCTTACATTTCTTTTTCCACAATGTGATTTTATGTTTGCAAAGATATGAAAATCAAAAGCCTAGCCAGCTAGCTATAATGAAAAATTGCAAATATCTCTACATGCCTCAAAAGCCCAGGGGCTTTAAGGAAAGTAGTCCCCCAAAATGCTCTGAGATGAAGAACAGAAACTATAATGTTCCTTTGAGCTTTGGTCCTGAGTTACTTCTTGAAGAAAATTTCGCTTTGGAGTAAATATGGGAAGAAGCTCATATTGTCCTTTTAGCTTGGTGGTTCTGGAGAGCCAGGGTCATGGATAATAAAAATGCAAAGGAATGGAGAAACAGAACTGTCTATAAAATAAGCAGTTACCTACCTAATGAGATATTAGTGCACTGTCATATCCAAATCGGCCTAGATTCACACACACCTTTCCATACGAAATATCAATGAGTATAATCTTTTTTAAAGTCTAAAACTCAAAAGCAACAGCTAATACTAAAAGAAATGCATTTAAATGCGTCCTGCATAGAAATGAATATAAAAGTTGTAATAAGGCATTTGATAAATTCCAGAAGGTACAAAAATATGCATAACCACTAATGAGAAAAAGAGTGAAAATAAATAACCATTTTGACATTGAGATAGTTGAATTTGCAGAGTCTATGGTACCTCATAAATCTAGATAATAAAATGTGAATAAACTATGCATTTCGATGGTTCCTGACACCAAGATATCTAAGCTCTTGGGAGAGATTTTACTTATTCTAAAGCATTTATTCAGGTTGACTTCCCTCCCCTACTTCAGAGATTCTGCATCTTAACCAAGGACCAAAAAGAGAGACCTGTGGTCCCCTTTCCCAAATCTCTCTCCTCTCTTAAATTTACGAATGCTAACTTCAGAGTGCAGATTCTGATAAACAGGGAACACAAAGTTCTCCACCATGACCCAATTATAGTCCGTGAGCCTATCTAGAAGCAAGAATGTCGTTAAGTGGCATGGACAGTCAGATGAATTAGTGATTCCTCTGGCTGGGAACATCCACACAGGCTTAGCCAGTGTATCTCAGAGAGTCCTGCCCTTTTCATGGTTTCAACTGTTATCTCTGCACACATGCTCTCAAATCTCTCACCTGGGCTCCAGGCCATGTTTCTCACCCCACTCAGATATATCCTGTTGTCTTTCTCAACTCAACAGAACTATATAACTTCCCATCAAATGCACTCCTGTTCCCAGCTCCTCCACTATCCCAGCTCCAATACCAGAAACGTCAGGGGCATCTGTGATTACTTCTTTCATTTCACACATCTTGCTGGAGTGGGAAGGGTATCATTGGGAGACCTGGGGAAGCTTCATCCGTTATTACTTACTGCCTCCTGGTGGCTGGTGGGGAAACAGCAAGGGGTTGTAGCAAAGCCCTCCAAGAAGGCAAGCTCAACTTACCAGGAAGAGTTGGGGCAAGATTCCATTCACCAGATTTTTGAGAGCCCAGAGCAAAGAAGAATGAAACATAGGACAAAGCTCACCCAGAGACCAAGAAAATTACCTAATTCATAGCTGCAGAACAGAGCATACTGCCTGAGCAAGAACCTGGAATGGGCCAAGACATGCTGAGAGGAGGAGCTCTGGGGTGGGTGGGGAAGATCCAAGGACAGACCAAATGGGAAGTTAAAAAGGAAGAGAGATCAGAGAAGGTGGGTCACAGGTCTCACAGGTCTGCCAGTTGTCTCTAGTGGAAATAATCCTCCATTTAAGGCAGAGGTGCGGAGTCTTCTACCTGACGTTCCTCAGTGTGCTGAGAGATTACAAAATCCTAACACTCTATTTTTGCAGAAGCTAGCTTACAACATCCTACAGCATGCGTGCCAGTGACGGCATCTGGACCTCTGGACAGAGCTGTGAAGAGAGACTTGACCAAAGACAGAAGGTTCACTATGCCCTCTCTACCCACAAGTTAGACAGATAAAAACTACAGAAGGTTGTAAGCCATTGCTCTATATTCACTAAGCCCTATCTGTCCCCTTTTGGGACTGGTCCTGCAGCTGTGCTCCACCCTCTCCATCCTCTCATCATCCCTTATCTAAGTCTGTACCCTCACACACCTGGATTTGCCCACGTGGTCTCTAAGATGGTCTGCCGTTCACCACAGTGCTCCAGCCAGCGCTGGAGACAAAGGCCTTGCCAGCAGTGGCAGAGAGCTTGCATTTCATTCTGAGTGCTGTGGGAAGCCACTGAGATGGAGAAGAGGCAGGAGACTCACGGGTTCAGTGTGGGGCTTTTCAAGATGGAGCTGCCTGGAAGACACTGCAGTGGATATCACATAGAAATCCTGGCTTCTGGTGTGGTGTTCATCTGTTCCAGTGCTAAGTTCCCCCTTCCTGTTTCTCAGCAGTTTCTCTGGGATGCATTGGCACACCATAGCAAAGTGCTTTAACAGAACTGCCTGGATAGATTGTACTAGGAGAGTTAGCACA